TGAATCATGTCATTTTGGAATGGGGGACGGCTCTAAATATTACAGTACCCATGAGCCTGGGTTACTTCAGCTATGGAGAAGAAGCCCGTCAGAGGCACAGAACCAACTCATGACCCCTTGTCAGAGGTTGCAAATGAGCTGTGAGCAGTTCAACCAAAGAATGATCCTTTCTCAAAAGGTTTTTTGAGGCCTAATAGAGTAAAATGCACGGAGACTGTCTTTTGTTTGTTTTACAATAAATGAGAAGGTCAGAGTGAGATAAGTGGTAGTAGGGGAGACTGGGTATGGTTGTAAAACATTTTGGAGTTCTCAAACTTTTATACAAACCCACTACTGGGGTACGTTGTAACACATACTGTGGTAGGTTGTAACAATAACACAAAAGAAGCAGAAATAGATGTCACACCATGTGATATGCTTCAAAAACAGGTATAGTGAAATAAAAGAACAATATTTCTCTCTCACTGTAAAAGACTGATCTGATCTGTCTCATGACTCGCGTACATGTATGTGTATGTAAATTTGTCTATAGAATAAACTTACTTAACAGTATACTTAATAAATACTACTACAATGTACTTAATTAAAGAACATCTTTGTACATCTTTAGGTCTAACAAAAAAAAGGTGTGTGTTAACATGTGTATATTCTTAATCAGAGTCACAGTCAGTACTTAAAGTGGACCAGTACTCACCGGTACGCAGTACCAGCATTTCTATATTTTATCCATTCCTATCTGCTCAGTCAGAGACAGGACCTTAGTTCAAACCCACTGTTTAGGCTGTGTTGCAAGAGACAGCTAGTAGCTGTTGTGGCATTTCACTGTAAGAGATTCATATTGTAGATCTGAAGTGTGCAAAACTTTGCAAAAGTAGAGCTCTAAAATGCTGCACTAGTGACTAAAATTGACATTCCTTCTCCTACAGAACAGCAAGAGGTCAACTAGCATGTAGAAGTTGTGCTTCACATTGCCACCACTCACACATGCCTACACAGACAGTTGAACAATGAGCTCAGCATTCACAGCCCCGACCTCACCTTAGGTTTTTCATGTCCTTTCCTTTTCATCACCTCAAAGGATTAATCAGAGGCTTTTATAATGCAGCTGCAAATAAGCAGACATGTCTCTTTCTCCTCCCTGTGACCTGAATGCAGCAGCAGCCTTCCTTCCCCTTTAGTAAAGACTGCCATGAGAGCACATCAAACACATGCCCTCTGCACCTGAGGCAATGAAAAATAAATCAACAAACAAATGAATAAGTAATCACAAAGGGGGAAAAAAACAACAAGGAGCCTTTAAATTATGTGCAAAAAACATGTTGATCTGAACAGTTCTTATGTTTTCTGAGCCTTTTGCGTCTGTGTATTTTGGGAAACATGTTGGTTTCCGGGTCCCTGATCTCATTAGATTTATGTTCATTGCTTTTTTTCTGATCAAGCAATGCTTCCGTGGGTTGGTTTTGTGAATGGCATTGTTGGCTATATAGTATGTAGCACTCCCCCCAGGATTCTTGCATTTGAGCCAGCAATATGGAACTAAACACACTCCACGGCTGCTGGGTGATGTGTTGGCTGCAAGAATCGAATAAAAATCGTCCTGTAAAGGAGCCACCTTGATGTTTTAGAAATAGCTTCATACCGATGACAGCTCAGAGGCATCATCCAGATGGTCACAACTGTGTGCACAGACGTGTGGAGTAGCCGTGTATTTAATAGAAGAATAAACACAAAGATACTCATTCAGTAGGCAATAAGGTTATCTTTGAAATCCTATAAAGTGACTGTATCATCATTTAAACAGTAAACCATTCAGTGTGTAATAAACTGCCTGTAGAGACACTGCAGATGCTTCATGAATTTTAAAAAAAATTAAGAAACCAACTCCTGCATCTTATTGAGCCGTAACCCGATTCAATGACCCATGCTGTTCATAGCTTATGTGTACCTGCTGAGCCATGTCAGTCAACTCTTGATGTGCATTGGGCCCTGCTTCTAATGTTGACAAAGAGGTCATTAATTCGCATCAAGGACACCGGCGTAATAGACTTGTATCACATATATACAGTGGCTGTTAGTTTGCAAACAGCTTAGCAAGCAGCAAGCGTTGCTTGTGCTTTGATTCAGTGCTAAGTGCTTCATCAATCACAATCCCAGACAGATCATTAGAGGCTTCTAGGATGACAGGACCAGCCAAAACATCTACAGCAGATTGCTCCAGACCACCCCTCAAACCTTTAATTACGCCTGAGGTTGGCAGTTATCAAAGACACACAGTGATAAGTGACTCACTCAATAGTACCAATTAGTTAAAGCAACTTGTTAGTGTCAAATGTTTTAAATAAATTTCATTGCATTTGGTATGTTAGGCCCAAGGGAACATGTTTTTCTGTAGAAGAGAAAAAGTATTACTCAAAATAGCCCATTGAACAACACAACAACACACTGACATATTTAATAACAGAGCACTAATTCAGCTGTTTTCGGCTTTAGATTTAAGTGGCAGACTTTGTAGCCAGATGGTTTCTGGATTGAATCTGTTGTCAACATGCGTTTAAGCAAGGTACTTAAATAAGACAAATATGAAAATAATGTTGGCTTCAGTTTAAATGATAAAAGATAAAAATAAAAGAAATATATATCTCAGCCTGTTTTTAAGGCATCGCAATGTCAGGTGGTCAGTCCACCACAAGAAACAAGAGAACAAGATGAGAAGATTTTTAACACTATTTTAAAGAAATATGAAATGCTGAAATATACTGTAGGGGGTCTGGGGGTCCTTCCCCAGAAAATTGGAGTAACCTATTAAACACTTAATTTCCTTCATTCTGCTCCAATTTACGGTGGAAATGTCTCTTTTATATAAAAGTCAGCTGGCCATTGACAATTCATAAAAATATGACAGAATGTAATGCAGTAATCAGCAGCTTGTTTTTTTAGCTTAAGTTACTTTTGTAATGCACATTTGTTTTTTTTATATATTTAAATCGCATTGCATGTTTTCTTATTGTGCAAATAAAAAATTTTGAGAACAAAACAAGGCACCAAGTGCCACAGCACGCCACAGCTGCTCAATTAAAAGTTGACACATAATCCAAAAGTGATTTTATTTAAGCTGCAGATGTGTTTTCAGTAATATTTAGCTTCCACCAAGTCTTAGACAAAATTTAATTTTCTAACTTTGGTTTGTGAGAATATACCTGCCAAACAAATTCCCATCAGCATCAGACGAATGGAATTTAGTGCTAAGTAGCTAATTATTAGCAAACTATGCTAAACTAAACTAATATACGTTAACATGTTAAACTTAATTGGTGAACATGGAAAAAAAATAACCTGCTAAACATCAGAATGTTAACATTGTGAGCATGTTAGCATACTGAAGATAGCGTGGCTATAGACTCTTGTTCAAGGATAACACAATAAAGACCATAAGCTCCATTGTGGTATTGATATAATCAGTGAGAATAACACATGGAATCATTTGTTATGGCACTATTAATTTATAATTTTATTATCATCAACAAATCCCATGAACAAAGCAAAACCAACAATGGATTGTCGTACATAAAAGCCAGTCACAGTTTGACATACTCTTTAAAAGGTTATGCCTAGAGAATTTGTTGCAATGATATGAACTTCAGGGGATTTGCTGATAAAAATATACTTATCCTTAAACAACCCATTGCTGACTGCAGCTCCTCTGAGTCCAACATTAGACAGCTACAGATGCACTATGCAGCTCCCAGTGTTTCTGCAAAACAGCAAGCACACTCAGTCTTTGCCTTAAATAAATAAAACAGCTATAAATGGGAATTTGTTCAGTGTGCACTCTCATATTGTAAGCAAAGCATGCTCTTTTGTCCTTTTTGCCCACCTGCTTAATGGAAACAAGGTGCTGTACCAATGTAACACCCCAGGAATGATTGGTAATGTGCATGTACATGTGTGTGTTGGAGTGAGGCCATTAGACAAATCGTTCTCTCCCTGATGAGCGGCTGGGTGATACATACTAGAGCAGACAGGCGTCGGCCAGGGTCAGGAGGTAACTGTCACAGGCCCTTCACCTGTGTGTGCACCAATAGAGGGGATCCTAGAAAGGGAATGTCTATACACATTTCCTCACACTGTTCCCTTGTGAGTTACTCTGGAGATCAAGTGCCCCCTGGTGAGCAGAAGGAAGACAAGTCCCCGAGCGAGATGAGTTATGGGGGATTTAGCACTGCCTTTGTCATCAAACAGAACTTGTGTACACACATGAAACTAACACAATTTTCCACTCTAATTATAATTTAGAACCCCAGACTACACTATTCATGTAAATATTCAGCATATTTCTGTATAGCCCACAGCCATATTCCCCCACCCATGTTCTGTTGTGGATATAGATCCAATATAGCATCAATGACTACTTGCCTTGGGAGAGTTATAGTGCTTGTTCCAGCAGACAGAGCGGGGAAATCGCATGAATATCAGATCCCAGTGGAGCTGTAGCTTTGGCTGCTGTTTAAAGCCTAATCAATGAAAGAAACATAACCCATGTCTATCTGTTGTGAATAGGATGTTTCTGGGAAAACTGCATGCCAAGTGTGATTCAGGAAAGAGATAATATGTAGAAAAAACATTTACACAGATATCATTGGTAAATGTTTTGCACCACTGTTACGCATATGATTTAATGACTACACCTGAGCAAACTGTTGAGCAGGGCAGCAGCAAAATGCTACAGTAGCTCTCTGGATCTGAGCTTGCTGACTATGGAGATTTGACTGATTTAGCTGCAGGCACAGGCTACCTTCAATGTCCAAAGCTATTAGTGATTCCTGTACTACTAAAGCGCTGCTCCAGGGTACCCATTTCCTTGCATTAATGTCTACCTTCCACCACAGCAAATCAGGCTTATTCTAAAGCCTCTGCCTACCTTAGTATACTTACTAGGTGAGAGGGCTCAGGGGCTTTTGGTGGTCAGAATGAAATTCAGAGAGAAGCACAAACATGTCACATTTCTTGTACATTTGAAAGAAGAACAATTTATTATCAAGAACAAGAATATCAAACAAGAGAGAGGAAAAAAAGTTTGTCAGTTTCACAAACTTGTTTTCGCGGCAATCTGATCACTTAAACGCTTCCGGCACAGAGAGAATGACTTATTAAGCTTTGAGATTCCTTCATTTAATCTTACGCCTCTAGTTACAGTTTTTCATAATTTTTTGCCTTATCGTGTAAATATAGAACTGCTCTGCTGAAACCAGAGATCGCATTAGCAGTTATTAAGAGGCTATTCAAAGGGGGGTTTTAAATGTCAGTTCTGTAAAGTGCTGTATGCCCACTTTTTGTCCTCATCACAGAGAAGGTAGCGGTTCCCTTATGTCCGATTTGTGATATGGGTTCCTTATTGCCAGTGGAAGGTGCGCTTCACCAGCCTGAAGAAGGTACGGTTGTGTTCCTGTAGGTAGGAGCGGAGCTGCTGAAGGACGGTGCTGTTGACAGCTGGGTGAGGACGTCCCTTTGACTCGTGCAGACAGCGCTCTCGACCATCACTTCGGATACAGTAAAACCCCTTGGTCTGGTTGAAGTAGAAGTTGGAGGACACTATCCTTGGTGACAAGTTGAGGAAGCGCTCCACCTTCTGAAGCTCTGGCAAAGGGTCGCGGATCAGAGCATCCCCATCTACGATGTGTATCTGCTCAAGGGGGAAGTGGCGCAGCCAGTTACGCATGTGGATGTCGTACAGGCTCCTCTGAATGGCCTTGTACCGTATATTCAGGGCTCCATTGCGCACTAGCAGGTTTTCAATGGCTTGCACCGGCTTGTGGTTCTCTAGCCGGTTGAAGTACACCTGGGTATAGTCGGAAATGACCCGTTCAGCCGGGTCTCGCAAGATCAGCAGCAGCTTTATGGATGAGTTCATGGCGCAGATGCGTTCTGGTGCGAGGGCTGATGTAAAGTAACCCGGAGTTTTCTCCACTGTGATCTGGTTTGGGTAAGAGTAGGGCATCAACTCACGGTACCACTCAAAGCCCTTGGCATAGTTCTCATCCCAGTCAAAGAAGTGCACCTCGGTGGCAGCAGCAGCAACCTCTGGGTGTATGTCTAGCATCTCCAGCAGTGCTCTTGTGCCCCCCTTGCGTACCCCAATAATGATGCTGTGTGGGGCTCTTTTAGTAGTCCCTGGGGGTGGGGTTAAGGGCACAGACACATTGGCTGGTAGTCCAGGATCAAGGTCCACGGAGTCCAGTGTTATACCAAATCCTGCCTGGACAAGCTCAGGTGGGGCAGCATATGTCTGGAGAACCAGAAGAAAGGCAGATGCCAGGAAACAGGCCATGGTGATGGACTAAAGAGTAGATATTGACCAAGACACAAAAGCAAGAAAGGGAGACTGTGGTTTAGCTGTGGACGAGATCTGTCTTTCTGAGCTCAGTGGCAACAAGAGCAGTGGGAAGTGCATTCTTTGTCTGCCATTGAACTTGACCTGGAGGAGGAGGAGAACTCATCGGCAGTCCACAGCACATCTGTAGGGATGAACAAAGACAAAAAAAGAAGAAAAGGCTTTCAGATTTGAGGCATAAAAAGCAGAATGAATGTCTGTATTATACCTAAATGGCACTTTGCTCATTCTCCTGAAAAAGCAATCCAGTCATAAATAAAATCCATGTGTGTTATGAGTGTATCATCTCAAAAGGATAATCTCAATTCATCTTTCTTTGAGTCTCTTTTTATCTCCCCTCTTCCCATCTGATTTCTATTCTAACTCTATAAAGTCACTTTCAATTCATACTTTAATTTCTCCGGCTGAAAAACATTTAGCCAGACAGCTCGTTAGAAAATGTGTCTGAGATATGCAAGTGTGACTGAAGGCCAGATTACAAGGCCAGCATGCTTTGTCTTCCTTTACCAGGCCAAAATCCACAGCAGAATCAATACACTTAACATCTCTCCCCCTGGAGCATTGAAATCAAGGCATTTGGAGACCTGTAAAGACAAATTTATTGTAGGGAGTCAGAAGAGCTCCCACTTCTAGGTGACTTTGATTTCCTATACATGCAAAGTAAGATCAATACTAGGGAAATGAAATTCAGCAAGGAGAAGGATTTAAGGCATTAAATAAGACTTATAATGTTGCTGAAGAGCCCTTCCAAACTATGAGAATTTCTTTCTTTTTAAATTTTTATATCTTATATTAAAAGGGCTGTTAAAAATGTAATATTTGCCTTGTTTTCTTGCCTTCGATAGGCACTTGTCAAATGGTTTGCCTTTACTTAACCAAGAAATAACAAAGGTAAAAATGTTCCGTTGCTCTGTAGCAAAAGCCATGAGTTGAAGTAGCAGAACACATTTTTTTTTTTTAAATGTCATGGAATTAATTTAAAAAACAAAACTCTTCAGATACCCTCACGAGGAAAACAACCTGAGAGAGCTGTTGCTTACACTGTGATAGTCAAAGCAACAGGGCCGGGCTATGCAAACATCCAGCTTCAACAGCAAAGGTCACGGTAAGGTAATCCAAACAAACGAAGATATTCCCTGCCTGGGAACAGACTGCCAGAAAAACACACACACGACTGCACAGTACTATTCTGGTTGCATACATAAGACATACTAAGTGTTCAGCACATATTACTCATCATCACTTATATTGTAGGTTAGAAATAGGTAACAGATAATTTGAATATATTTTCAAAACTAGTCTTCTTCCATGGGAGTCAATTTGTCACATTTTGATGGGATTTTGCACGCACGGGGTAATCTTTCTTACAAGTAAAATGCTGAATTCCTGCGTCACTTTCTGTAGACGGCATTTAGTGTGATTACATCTTAAAGGGGGAAAGTATTGTATGTATTTCACACATTTGGTATTCCGTGGCTTTTATAGCAGCAGGAGGCTGCACAGAAAGTTTGTTCTGTTTCTTATATATAAAGAATGGCTGATGAAATATATTTGTGAGAGATTTTTATCTTACCTAATCCTCAGTAAATTTGTACAGTAAAATACCAAAAACTTTTTAAATTCCAAAATGACACACCATTGTAAAAAAAAACAACAACAAAAAAAACAGAAGGTGAAAAGTGATAATCAGAGCCAGTCTGTGAAACACACTCATTTGAAATTCATATGAAAGTAATGAGTCATTTTAAAATCTTTGTTTAGAAACTGTCATCGAGGACCATGGATTTGTGAGGCATGCATAAAAATAACTTTGCTGAAAACTGTTTACTTGAGTTGTTTTTAGTAACCAGCTGTTATTATTAATTATGTCTCTGCTTGCAGAAATACTCTACCTCGAGTACAATTTCATCACAGAAGTTGTCCCTCTAATTAAGCAAAGTTTGTGAGAAATATTACTACCAATGTTCACAGCACATTTCTACAATGTCACCTGTGGCCTTTCTTTCACCTTACAGAGCCTTTCATCCATGTAAAGGCTATGACACATGCCCCCGCTACGATCTGTGGCTTGATTGTGGGACTGGGCCTGTGAGCTGAACACAGGAGAGCTGACCTGCCCTACAGGGCCCGGGGTTGTGCAAGGAGGCACTTATGTGCTGTGACAGGCGCGCCTGCTTGTCAGCGTTTCTCTGGCAGAGAGCTGCCAAGTCCAATGCTAACAGCCAGGCAGCCAGACGAGCTTTCTGTCTCATCCAATTCCCCCCACTCCTCTCACAGCACACCACCACCTGGAAGGAGCCATTGTTTCACATTCCACTGGGCCTTATTGCTTTATTCAGCACTTGATGCATATCTATCCAGCTTTTCATTCTGCACATGGCAGCCACGCAATCTGGTAGACCCCTTAAACAAGACTATTTCCACTAAACACTGTGGAGCCAGTGGAAGGTTACACAACACGGGTTGGCAGGGAAGAACTATGGCCTCACTGAGACTTGGGAGTAGGGTAAAACATCTGTGTGTGGTGGCACAGCGTGAGCACTTCTGCCTCACAGCATGAGAGTCTACATTCAAATCTAGTCTCTGGTCACTTTTTTGCTTAAGGAGTTTGCATGTTTTGCTTCTGTGCATTTCCTTCAGAGAGTCCGGAGGTGCACTATCTTGATCTACAGGTAACAGGTGGGAGCATGAAGGTGAGATGTGGGTGGAACTGAAAATACTATGGACAGGTTTGCTAAATGAGGAGTTTCCAAAACTGGAAAATAAACTAGGGATGCACAGATCCAATACAATGAATCGGTATTGGAGCTGATACTGTTTTTAGTGAGCAGATCGGGTATCTTTATCAGTGTCATTTAAACATTTTTGCAATTAAAGTTATGCCAGTCACAGTGTCAGATGATCTGTATCGCAAATTCTGAGGTTTGAGGTATTGCAATAGGTATCTAGAGAAAAACTGTTGGATCACTTCATCCATAATATGAACAATTAATACTTCCTGAATTACAGGCAATTTCCACCCTCTCTTTTAAATTGCAAGATATTGGTAAGTTTTTGTATTTTGCAGTTCAAATTCATAATTTTGGTAATATTGGGAGAACAATCTGAGATAGGAAGCAAAGAGGCCCCAGTCATTAAATAAATGACTCTACTATCACTGAATTAGTTTTTATGTGTATTAGCTATATGACTGGCCCAGTGATACGTTCAAGATGTCTCCCTGCCTTGCGCGCAGGGAAATGCTCCAGCCCCTCTTTGACCCTAATTTTAAAGAAGTGGAAATATGGTCACAGTACAGACAAATTCAGGATAGCTTAAATAACAAAATCAAACCTATACAGCATTGCCACTTGAACCCATGATGCAGGGTCTCCACGCACGAAAGCTGCACTTGCCAACCATTATCTAGGCTTTAAAACTTGTCTTGCACAAGAGCAAAAGTGCTGCCTACTAAAATTGTTCAGATCTGAGCAGACAGCACAGATCTGAACAATTCATTATATCCCACCAGGCTAAGAGGAGGGCTCCACAGGTTCTCAGTGCCACAGGAAACCAGGTTCCCACTAATTAACCCAAACAGCCGTCTCTATACATCCACAGAACAAACCCTCATTCATATTCAGCAGGGCCCCCTGCCATTAACTGTGGCAGGCAGCAGGTATTGAAGAGGGCAACTTTGTTTTTTTTTTAATGGCCGCTCATTAGAGACATTAGTACAAAATAATTTGTACTGCAATAAAGCTTGATTACAAAGGACGGCTTTTGTGCTATTAAAGTGATTGATTTCAAGTGAGGAAGTGGAAAGTATTAATCATTGTTATTATTCATATTATTGCATATTTTTAAGAATTTACACACGCAAATGCATACATGCAGCTACGATACAAGTTGGTGGTAATTTCGTTTTCAGCACAACCGAAGACATTTCTTTAATCTGAAGTAGAATTGAGTGCAGAGACAAACCTCCTTATCTCCCGGTTGTGTCTTTGCTATTTTTATTATTTACATCTGTGTAACTTGTATCTCTTTTTCACTGGCTCACAGCATTGTTAGATGATCTCTTGTAAGATGCAGTGACTCTTCCCCTTAAAAAATATCACTTTGAATGCAAAAACACACTCACCTTCTTTCTATTTTCTTCTGCACTTTCCCCTTTGCTCCTTCTTCTTTTCCTCTGCCATTCTCTCCAACAAGCCCTCAAAAACCAGTACAATATATTTCCCACCCACACACATTCAACTGTAACTCTGAGACTGTACTCCCACATACAGGATGGGTATTAAATTATGGATGCATTTGGTTCACAGTGGGATTCCTGGCTCAATGTATTAATTTCTGATACAGCGTAAGGCTTTAGCTATTCACAGAGGAGAGAGATGACCTTTTCTTCCCTTCTTAACCTCCTCACTTTTTTTATCTTGAGAGAAAGTTTAATTTCTGGGACATATGAGATGCACTCCAAAACAACACCAGTAAAATCCTTAATTCCTCAACCATGTGTTTAGTATCCTAAACACTAACCAAATGCTCTGCACTCACATGCCAGGGATTTTAAAGCAACACCTTGAGCATGGCTGAGCATTTTAATCCTCCCACAAAGCTAGCTTGACCATGATGTGCCCATCTATTTGCATTACTGGTATATTACAGCCACTTACTGGTGAGAAGATTGGAGGGTGTGTTAGCTTGAGAATAGACAGTTGCCACTTTCAAGCTCTAGGCTGGTCAGTGAAATGCAGTCGGGGAATGAGTAATACTCTCACCTCCCTAGAAAACTACAACAGAGGTGCCCTTGACTTAGTTGCCCATTAGCAAGACATTCAACCCCCAACTGTCTTGTGGAGCCATTTAGTGGCCCATGATATTTCACTAGACATTGTACTGTGCGTGACGGTGTACGTGACAATAAAACTTGATTTGATAAAAGAGTGGAAGCTCCCAGGACATTGTGCCAACTTATAAAGGCTCAGAGATTTATTGCTACTGCAGTGGTTAGCTGAACCCGAAAGCTTACAACTACTGGCTTTTGTGGACAAGACTATGTTAGTATTAGACAACAACATGTAAACGTATCTTACTCTCTCTATCTCCCCAAAGCTAGTTCCTTAAATTGAATCTGTCCTC